TATACCTTTATAAAGATATTTTCTATGGAAATTTGGGAACTATTTGTGGACTATACTCGTATTTTGGCAATCCGTTAGTACACGGAATGCTTCTAAGAATAAGAACTATAGTTTTAGTCCAAGGAAAAGATTTGTGGATACAAAACAATCAAATTTCATATATCTACAGTTGTCTTTCCTTGATATTCATTCAATACTACAAGCTTAATAAATATCAAATAAGTAAATACAAAACGTCTATAGGCGAAAATGAACCCTTATCACCTTCCAAACTTCATCGTACGGTCACAGCTGTCCGGTAGTGTTTTAATTTTCATTATTTTTTTATTAATCGGAATGACTAGAAATTTGGAACGTGTGTACATCTTAGTGAGACGCGCCTAATAAAAATAGGAAAAAAATAATTTACAAAATATAAATTGATCAAAATATCCCTATAAATTTTTGGAGGTATTTTGGTCAATTTATATTTTATAAATTATTAAGTGCGCCTCACTAATATGTACATATTCTCCAAATTTGATTTGCAGAAAAAACATGAAAATTAAAACACTACCAGAGAACTGTGACCGTCGATGTAGTTTAGATGGTGATGAGAGTAGATGAAATCATTGTTCACTTTAGCCTACAAGTGTTGGGAAGAGTTTTCCACACACACACACTGATATATATGTATATATACATATATTTATGACAATAGCTGGGCAGCTATAATGAATAGTAATATAGGTGGAATGAGAACCGTCAGATATTCATCACATATCACTATATGAATTTTAATATTTTTTTTTAAAGAATCGAATCATAATGAAATTTTAGAAGTTTGTACTAAAAAATAGGGAGAGAAATTAAAAAATATATAAAAAGTATTTTCTAAAATATAAAATGATCTAAATACCCTTAAAAAATGATGAGGCTAATTTGGTCATTTTAAATTATTGAAAATAATTTTTTATATATATTTATATGGTGAGCAATAGTGCTAGGTATATAGACCCAAAATTTCATCTTAATAAGATATATAAAAACAACATTAAAATTCTTATGGTGATATGTATTGTAAACCACATGATGAAGATCTGACGGCTGGGATTCCACTTATATTATCATTACAAATTAGTAAACTGACCCAGCTATTATAAGGTTTATAATATATATATATATATATATATATATATATATATATATA